GGTTTAGATGGACATGTGAATGAATGATTTGTCAAGATGGAGCCATATCTTATTGGTATCTTGTGGAGGAATTGTAAGGTTTAGATGGACATGTGAATGAATGGTTTGTCAATATGGAACCATATCTTATTGTAGGAACTGTCAGGTTGAGATGGACATGAGAATGACTGGTTTGTCAAGATGGAACCATATCTTATTGGCATCTTGCGTAGGAACTGTCAGGTTGAGATGGACATGAGAATGAATGGTTTGTCAAGATGGAACTGTATCTTATATATTATTTATTCGCATTCAAACCACACGAATGTCATCATCAAAAACCTTGTCGAAACGTTGTACATTTGCTGTTATGTTAAACTTATATTAAAGTTTTTCTTTATTACCCATTCAAGCCGTCTCCAGCCATTATTTGTCATCGAATTTGAACACATCTAATGGGTTAATAGAAAATTTAAGTAATAACCACCTTGAGGTTCATTGCTATCACTACAATTTGTTCTTTGAAAAAAATAATATGTAGTATAAACAATGTTGTGTAGTCATATTTATACTAATACAATAAAATACTCGCTTGAAATATTGTTTTGACTAATGAAAGGAATGTTTTCAAGAGAATGGCTCGTAAGACTCTTCGTGACATCTATTGGTGGTATTTATAACTAAAATGGCATCTGTTATTAATATTTGTATGATTATGAGGTTAAAAAAAAACTTTTCTTATTTGCTGTTATGATTTCGATTCGATTGAAACATTTATTTTGATAAGTGGATCAGCTTTTATAACAATAAAATGTCTATAAAGTTTACTGTAGAAATTTGATATATATATATAAAGTATAACGTATGGTAAATGTACTGTAAAAACAAATTTAATTGTAAAATTTTCATTTTTACATTTTCTTCAGATTTATGTGCCTAAAAAATCACAAACCGAGCATAACAAAACAATTACTTCGAAAATGAACATTTGTTTTAATAATTTTTACAAATTAGCTTGATACATACGACATTTGTATGTATGGTTATAAGTTCCAATGTTAGAAACTATAGGTAGACCAAACAAACACGGGTAAGAATCCCTGGTGGCCTATTATCCAAATACTGTTTTTCATTAAGAATGCTATCTTTTTCAGTTTTGATAAGTACCTTTGTAGTTTGGCTTCTCTAGCGTCAGTAAGATCAAGTTGTAACCTCACAAACTTAGTTGAATCACTTAAAATGTTTTCGGCTTTTCTTAAATACTCATCTTTATCTAAAATTATAATATCCTTTCCCTTGTCAGATTTCGAAATACACCCCTTTTAGTCAGATTCATTAAAGTTGTTAATTCCTCTAAACTTAAATTTAGAAACCTTTCTTTATTCGTGATTTTACTGATGTCGAGGACGATGTGTGTGTGCCGCCATCTCTTGCATAAAATTAATAACTCAAAAATCCCAATCGCTACCTAGATAATATTGTTTATAATAAATATCATTGTTTCTGTAATTTGTTTATATAAGAACTTTATTATTCCCGTCCCCGTGCCTTAAGTCATATAAAACAAAAACCAAAGTCTCCAGCGTTCTATGTTCTACGCCATTTTTGTTCTGACAGAGACCATGTTTGCTCTGATGTTCATTTAGGGCTAACTCTCTTTCTTTTTCCTGATAGATTTCATAAAATTGCCTGTCTTGTGTAAAAGCTCGCAAAACTGTAGTAAGTGTGACCATCAGACACATGTGTATCATCTCCATCCTGAGAGGAATGACATTGTCGTATATTATTTTTATAACGGCATGCGTTCTCAGTTTTTAGAGAACATATGATTATTTTATTTACATTCTAAACACTTCTTGTCTGATCTCTCCAGTAAAGGTGCCATAAAATACAGTCTCACGAGTACTCAAATTAAAAACATCTATCTTGTCAAAACTCCAGATCTACTTTTATGGCAAACTGTCTCCATCTAGCCTAAACAAACTTGAAAGTTATTAATTTTTTGCTTGTTTTATCAAATTGTATACCGTATTGGCCCGATTATAAAGCGATGTTTTTTTTTTATTAGTAATTAGGCTCTAAAATTCATAGTCGCCCGAATACGACCCCTCATTAGGTCAGCGATAAATTTACTGACTTAAACTCTAAAATCCAAGGTTCAATTCCTTTTAGTGGAAAAACCCGTTATGTAAGTTTGCGCTAAAAATAAGATACACGCACATACACATATAAATGAACATAATCAATATATATATATTTAAAACTATGTTATGAATGTTGAGTAAGTTATCACAAGGTTACGTTCGCATCTTCTAACCGAAGAAAACATGGCCGCTGATTTTCATTATTGTTTACTCCAAATGTAACAAAAGCTTTGTCAACTTTATAATTCTTCATTACAGCTCACCAAAGTGTTTGTAAACAATTTTCTAGCCTCTAAAGTGTCAAATAAAGGTATAAGTACTACGACCATATGTTTGAAGCACTTTATTCCATGAAATTTGTTATAAATATACGTCACAAGTGAAGCAGTCAGTATCTATTGCCTTAGGAAAACAGGAATACAAAAGCGTGAACGAACAAATTAGCAATTTTGAATTTTACAACCATTTTACCTATCCACACAACCCTTAGTTCCCACTTGACACATCGTTAGGTTTAATATTACCACCACCTTCATATTCATATACAGAGCCAACTGAAGTAAAATAATCTATCCGGGGTTTCTTCTTTCTGGGGGGAGAACTTTCCAAGTAGGAATGTTGACCAGAGAGTTGAGAAAGAGATTGTTGAAACTTGTTCATCTCAGGACTCCCTAAACGATAATTGTCTCCATACTTGTTGGAGAGTTGAGAGGATGAATTCTGTGACTGACCATCAACAGCTGGCCTAACGTTCGAGTAAACGTCTGGCATGTGAGAAAATGGAGACGTATAGAGCCTCGACTCATCCATTACAAAACTATGGTTATTATATGATCCATTCGCATGAATAGTAGGGTCAACATTAGATATCCGAGCTCTTGGGATACTCCGACCGCTATAAATGGACATCGTTTCCCATTCATGGTCCAACGCAAGAGCTGGTAAACTGGGGGGAGGCTTTGGCTTCTTTCTTCTACAGAGACAACAAACAAATATTACTACAGCCATTACGATCACGGCACTAACGGACGTAGCTGCAGCGATCACGACCTTGAAGAAAGTGTCAGCTTTAAATCGAACGTTCTTTATTTCTCGACACTGACTGCTAGGAAGTAAGACCTTGGTGAAGTTAGAAACGTCTTCTATTGTCGTGACGCAGATTACCACACAAGAGTTTGCTGGAAGATCTGGAACAACGTATCGTCTTTGATTGTGTTCTAAGAAAGAACTCTCATGAAATTTTGTTTCCCCGAAGAGTCTATAAATAACACGAACCCTAGACGAGCTATCGGACTTTAGTTCCCATTCTATCACGACTGAAGACCCTTTCCTGTAAGCAGCAAAAATTTGGACCAAATTTGGAGGTGGCGATGTCAACGTCTTCGTGATACCAGATTTTGTACGAAGGTTTGGGAATGTGGCAATAGCCGGTGTTTTCTCTGACGATAAATAAAAGTCTTCAGTTATGGTGTGCCCATCAGTTCCAGAATGTTTGTCTGCGTCTTGGAGGGACACAAAAGAATTGGATAACTTCTTTGAATCCTTAGTACTGTTGTAACTAGTGTGTGAAGGAAAGATCATGGTTTTCAATAAAAATGTATCGGTTCTTGTTATGGCAGTGGTTGTAATTGTCTCGTTGTCACAGACAAGCTCAGCAGGACTTATTTGTGTAAACGATTTACCTTTAAGAGGATCTGGATCTCCGCAAAACTTAGGATTTCGCTCTCGACTAGTCACTTGAAGATTGTATTTACGGATCCACTGAACTATCCAACGGATTCGACAGTCACATTTCAAAAAAGATCCTAAACTCAAGAAAAGGTATATATAAATTTCCAAATAAAAGATTGCAGTTTGAAACAGATTAAGTGAAAAAATTTGACCAAAGATATAGATTATTTCTACATGTGGTATTCAAGGACTTTTGAAACCATTTTCTGAAGGAGGGATTCAACTTGTCGTGATCAAGTACTAAATACAAACAACTTTTGGGTTTGGTAACTAATTATAATTGATCAATAAAACATCTTTAGACGATATACTATAAAATTATAGTATCTCTTAAATTTGACACTCTAACAAAGAAGGCAAGAAACAAACACTATCAGCCTCTTCTCTAACTCCGTGCCTAAACTATCTTTATTAAAGAACCAACTTTATTCATCCTATTAGAAGGGTTTTGAGTGTCTTTTTATTGTAATAAACCATCTTTATTAAAGAACCATCGTTATTCATCCTATTAGAAGGGTTTTGAGTGTCTTTTTATTGTAATAAACCATCTTTAGTAAAGAACCAACTTTATTCATCCTATTAGAAGGGGTTTAACTGTCTTTTTATTGTAATAAACCATCTTTATTAAAGAACCAACTTTATTCATCCTATTAGAAGGGGTTTAACTGTCTTTTTATTGTAATCGCAATGTTGTGAAGTTGTGATCATTATTCTCTGTGATTTGCTCTGCAATCCTAATATTTCAATTTACAATAAACTGTTTCAAAATCAATAGTCAGTAAAGGATGATTCTACTGTGTTCAATCAGTGTTACTCGCAACAGAATGTGTAACAACAAACAGAATACGCAACAAACAAAATGGGTAACAACAAAGAGAATATGTGACAACAAAGAAAATGGGTAACAAAAAACAAAATGTGTAACAAACAAACAAAATATGTAACAACAAATAGATATGTAACAACAAACAGAGTATGTAACAACAATTCAGAGTCCGTATGTTAAGTCACCACAGTTTTACAAACAGAACCCTTTTCATGACTTACCGGTAAACAGATGTTTATTTTGTATTTAATATATATATTAATATATTTTTCTCTCTTTTTAATACTTTATCACACAATCTCATCTTTAATAACTCAAAAACTAACCAATGAAATGCCTCACAAGGTCTTACCTCCAATACTTAATCCTTTTAGCGTAGAATTGAGGTGAGTAAACGCCGCTAGGGGCAATGTCTCCAAGGGATTTCCGTCTAAAGCAAGTAAAGTGAGGTAAGGTGTGTTTTTTAAAGCAGACTCAGGAACTTCTCGAAACTTATTGAAACCCAAGTCAAGTACCTGTAGAATGCAAACCGCAAAGTTTTATATAACTTAAGTTTGCATTTCGTATCTAAGACAAAACTACTAAGGCTTTCTGCTACTGTCCCTAATTTTAAACTACTTACCGGTTGCTACTGTCCCTAATTTTAAACTACTTACCGGAACGAAGAAAGTCGGTCAGTAGCACTTTACCATTCACCATTCTCGCGAAGGGATTGACTGTCACTCTAATAACGCACACAAAGATTAAAGTGCAAGGGATATTTGGTAGCATTGCATTGATTCGAATCCAGATAACCAACTCTTAAATCCAAAGCTCTACCACAAGGGCCACCCACGACCTTGTAGGATTCGAAACAACATAATTGTTTTAAACTTATCCCCAAACATTTATCCCACAGGACTTATTCTGGAAAAGGAAAAAAAAAAGCCTTTTTACACTAAGTCATGTTAAGCAAGCGTTCAAGTTAAAAGTTTTTCAATGAATTTAATTTTCAAGTTATAATAAATATTCCAAGTAAGGTATACTACAGTGTTGACCATAGTTTATTAGATACAATATAATTTGTCGAACGCTAGAAGATCGCGTGGACAGAGAATTTGTTTGTAATTAAGCACAAAGCTACACAATGGAATATCTGTGCTCTGCCCACCACAGGTATCAAAACCCGGTTTCTAGCGTTGTAACTCCGCAGACATAACACTGGGGGGGGGGGGCGTGGACAGAGGAGCTCTCAGTTTCGCAGACAAAGTTTCTCCTAGAATAGTTTCTACCTCGGTGGATCAGGGGTACTTTTCAGGCCTTACAACGTTAAAATCCGGGGTTCGATTCACAGCGGTAGACAGAGCGCATATAGATGTGTAGCTTTGTGCTAAAAACAACAACGACAACTACCCCTCGAGTTTTTAAATTTAATTTTATGGCAAATTCAACAGTCTTCTTGTCTACAAATACAGGATTCATAATTTTACACAATATCATGACCTTATCAAAAGTTAGCTCTAGGACTAGTAGGACTATTTCTTTGTTCGTTGAATTTCGCGCAAAGATTTTCGAAGACTATCTGCACTAGACGTCTCTAATTTAGCAGTGTAAGACTAGAGGGAAGGCAGCTAGTCATCACCACCCACCGCCAACTCTTGGGCTACTCTTTTACCAACAAATAGTGGGATTGGCCGTCACATTATAATGCCCTATGGGTGATAGAGAGAATATGCTCGATGAGAGGATTGGATCCAGAGACCCACAGATTGCAGGTCAAATGCCCTAACCACCAAGCCATGCCAGACAGTAGGACTGTTAGCCCTAAACATGCCCTACTCAGAATTGTGCAACAATCTACCCCAAAAAAACATTTCCTTTAATATCCCCTCCAAAAAAAACTAAAATAAATTCAAAAAAACACCTCCTTAACACAAACATAAACTTAAGCATATGTGATGAAAGAAGAGGTCTGAAACACAAAACTGAGTAATACATTATCGGATCTAACATTTCTAACGTTATTTCAAGAGGTTCGTTACCTCAGAGATCCATAAGTACAGAAAATATAAACGTTCAAAGCGTCACTTGTAACTAACAAAGCTATTTTTTTCCTTTTTTGTAACAAAAACCTTGCACGATGAATTCTCTGAAGATCCTTCAGTCAACGAAACAACCGAGACTTTACTGTTTCGTCAGTTTGATCCCATTTGTTACCTTTCTGGTTTATTATAACACTCATCGATAATCGTCAAAAATACCACTAGGAGCGCTAGTTATTTCATATCTTATTGGAGAGACTTTTCGCTTCATGAGGTCATTCTGAACCAGAATAATAAGAAAGACCACTAGAAGTAGCGCTGGTAGAAGTTATTGAACATCTTATTGAGGGGGGGAATGGGGCCAATGAGTACCATTGGCTTAAAAAGGAAAACTGCATTTACATTATATCATAATTTAACAACACGAGGCCACCTAGGTAGCGCAATGGTAAGTTTGATGACTTGTAACGATAAAACCCGAGGTTCAGTACTTGCGATGGACAAAGCACAAATAGCCCATTATGTGTCTTTGTACTTGACGTCAAATCAACGAGTATACTACCAAGTGTAAAATTATCAATAAAAATTAACTATTACATTATTTTTCTCATAAACTAGAGTTTTTTTTGTTTGTTTTTGAATTTTGCGCAAAGCTACACGAGGGCTATCTGTGCTAGCCGTCCCTA